AAATCACATCTGAAAGAAAATATACCAAAACAAAACAAAAAAACCCGCCAACTCAAACACACTTTCACAAAAGATGGAGAACACGGATTTCCTGTTTATTTCCTGGATGACTTGGTCATACAAGCGAATACGGCAAAATCCCCTCAGAACCCGAAAGAACAGCACACCGAGGAACCGAATGTGAGGATAGGAGCCATGATATTCAGGGTGGAGAGAAACACAATGGCAATTTGGCGCGACGCTGCTAGATACTGTTGGTTTAAAATCAACCTCTTAATTCCCAAGCTGTACACAAAACCTGCAACAAAGCAGACAGAGGGGAGAACCCATTTGAAAAGAGGAAGATACAAATATTCCACTGAAAACTTTGTTAAAAGACGCCACTGGCTCGCTATGACCTCAGGTATTTTACGAGGTTTGCCACACTGAGGCTCTGATGTGGATTCGACAGATGGCTTCACTTTCATCGAGTCTTTTCTGTCAAAGATTTTTCAGAGACAGAACCAACAATGCCTCCGAGTACCCTGTGCGTTACTGTAGCCAAACTACTCGCTCCACTTCCTATCACTGGCCTCTGATTACTTATTTCCCCCATCTGGAATATCCTGCCACTTGCTTCTGTACAGCCTTAAAAAAATAGGGCTGGACATGTTTTCTTCCTGGGTTTCATCCTGTAGGACTGAGTTTAAAGACTTCCTCCTGCCCTTATTACACTGGCTAAAGGTCACCTGTGCCCTTTGGAGCCGTAGCTCACTTTTGTCTCATTGGGCTAAAGCACCTATAACACGGGGCAGGGCTGGTGTCTGATCCCCAGAATTAAACTAAGGGACTGGCTGGCAATTCTTCTGTATACCCCTCTCCATGCCCTAAACTAGTACAGTGCTTAATGAAAAAGCAGGAAAATGTGAAGGCCACAAGGGAAGGGGGGCCCTGGTGATTTCACTGGCCACCACTCGTGGACAGGACCAGGAGCTGGCCCTGGGCCCAGGGCTGATTCGATCACGGCCAGGGTGATACTCACTCTGTTTCCTGTTACACGCCCGCCTGCTCCATGCTGAAGGAGACCTCAGGGTGCTTGTAGCTGAGCAGAATGTCTGTAATACACGTAGATGGATAGCAAGAGGAGTTTAAATGCTGGCTGCCATCACTCAGGTCTGGGTGCTCATGACCTCCCAGACTTGCCCCACACTCTGCAAGACCAAAAAGAACATCGGCAGGGAGCCAGGTGAGCAAGGGAGAGAGGGAAGAGGAAGAGAAGACAACCCGTCCGGGCGCCCCAGTCTGACACCGGGCCCTGAATTCTGCTGCTCACAGAAGTCCCTTGCTGTTGAGTAGCTGTGGACTGGGGACCAAGATTCTTCCTGGATCCTCCTCTAACTTTTCCTTTACTCTTTCCCACTCAATTATTATAGTGTCAGAGAAGAGAAAGAAGTGCTCCTTCAGAAAGCCTCAACAACCCTTTAACGGTGAAAGCCACTAATTTTGCTGCTCAGAGTGCCCCTTCTGGGCACTCTCTGTGTTCCAGGCACTATGCGCACCACTGTGCTCCTGGGGAGCCAGGCAGCTCTCATAGCACCATCCAGGTACCGGTTCCACTGTTTTTGCCACATAGCAGATGGACCTTGGGGTCCAGACAGGCTTTGCCCACAGAGACTGAGCGCAGAGCTGGGATTTACTGCAAATCTGTGCATACCAAGCTCTATGCCTTACATTTGTTGTAACACCCTCCTGCAACAGGCTCTAAGAAGAGGCAGAACTGCTCCATTGGGACGTGATGGCTTCTAATCACAAGCAGATAAAGAATTAAGAAGCGTCTTCGCAAAGCCTTAGGAACAGCAACGTGATGGCCTGTGCTTAACCAGAAGCTGTGCCCCCTGTACACTCTCACATCCGGGGAGGACAAGGGAAGGGTGTGGGATCTGGGCCCTTGGGGATGCTGCGGCTCTGCCTCCCCGTGGATCAGTCACTGCGTATGGAGGGAGGGCCTCCCCAAGGAACTTCCCTGGGGTGCCCCATGTGTGAGGCCCCTTACCCTCATCTTCCCCATCCTGAAACTGCTGGCTGCCCATGAGTGAAGACTGACTGAGAACTGCATCTGACATCCGGGCAGAACTGAGCGCTTTCCCAGCCACGAGACTCATTCCTGGCAAGTTATCCAGCTGTACCTGTAGGAAATAATTTGGAAAAGGAATGATGATACCAGAAAATCTGCCATACTCCGGCAACCTTTAGAGGGCGCCACTCCCAGACAGCCTCCCTCTGCAGCTCCATCCAAAGGGGACAACTGCGATGCTGCCAGTGTGGGAAGGAGAGGGCACGGCAGAAACTTCAGCTGGTGGTGATATCCCTGTGACACTTCCATGCCCGTCTAAAACCAGGTCACCGTAGGAGTTTGCTTTAGGACAGTTCCGTCAAATTGTACATTCTGCAGTGATGGAAATGATCTATATCTGCCCTGTCCAATATGGTAGCCACTGGCCACACACGGCTATTGAGCGCTTAAAGTGTGATGAGTATGACTGAAGAACTGAATTTTTAATTTTATTTCATTTAGTAAGTTTAAATTTGAATAGCAACATGTGGCTAGAAGATGCTACCATAGTAATGCCACCTTAAGAAAACAAAGCTTTGCTGAACCAGATCAGCTTCCTTGATCTAAGTTCAATGTAGCTGCTGAAAACTAAGTAAAAGCCTAAGGCAGTGGTTCTCAACCTTCTAATGTCCCGGCCCTTTAATCTAGTTCCTGTGGGTCATGACCCACAGGTTGAGAACTGCTGGTCTAAGGCTTCATTAGCTGGGGGTTGGGTTTAGCCTGGGAAGAGGTTTACTAACTGAGATTACAGGGAGCAGATTTAACTACTTTTTAGATTCCTCACTCTAAAACTGGGATTACAGATTCTATTGGAGTTAAGAGCTGGTGTGCTAGAGTGACTCAGAGGAATGTCCCCATAGTTCCTAGAGGGACTGGACTCTGAGCAGGAAGAGGAGGCATGCTGCCCCCTGCCATTATGATCTGTTTTCAAGGTTGGAAGTGGTAGGATCCCACCTCTGAAAAGCAGTGGGGGACCAACATACGTAGGCGTCGTCGCTGTTCTGGATCGTGTGGTGTCTCTGGAGGGTCCGAGGCCTGTGGTGCTCATGTACTGAGGGACGTGCTGGGTACCCGAACCCATTGTGGCCTGGCAGTTCCATTGCTTGTCCTGGAGAACTTCTATCCATGCAGTTCCCTATGACAGACTCTGAGGAAACAGAGCAAAATAGGGTCAGCAAACCTGGCCTTCTCCCCAGCATGTAAACTCCCATCAAAGAAATGTCTTGCAAGGGGCAGCAAGCAAGGCTGAAGACCACACGTGCCCTAGCTGCTGACCCACCTAGCTGGCAGGTGACGGTGCCTACAGGGGTCTGGACCAGCACAACCACCCTACTACCTACAGCAAAATGAGCCTCTGGGAAGACACCATACCCCTGGGGAAAAATCCCACCTCACAGCGTGTGGCTGGACCCCACTGAACCTTTTCTTCTTGCTTCATTTCTCTGCCAACTTGACAGTGCTATGTTCCCAAAGTCAGATGCACACAAGAATCATTCTCAGAGCTTCCAGGACCTCAAGCTAGGGGAATGGCCTCCATTCTGTGGGTGCTTCCACGGTCCTCCTCCTCCGGCATCCCGCCTCAGGGTACCAACCAGGCCCTGTTCACTTTCTACTTCTCTGACTCCTCTGGCTCCTCCACCCCTTGACAAGCAAGTCCTCTTCACATTCTGTCCTTGACCTTCTCTCTCCTCACATCTACTTTGGGAATATCATCTATCTTCCCAGCTTCACTTGTATGCCTTTACATAAAGGATACTGAAATGCTCTTTTAATCTCCAGATCTATACTTTCAGCCATTTACTAGCTATCTTTCTCTGGATATCTAACCACTTACATGCAACTCCAAACCCATCACCTTCCCCATTGCATCCCTTTGTCTTCTTTTAAATTTCAGATTGATGGCTCAGTGCCTGTAGCTCAGTGGCCTAGGGCGCCAGCCACATACACCGGAGCTGGTGGGTTCGAACCCAGCCCGGGCCTGCCAAACAACAATGACAACTACAACCAAAAAATAGCCAGGTGTTGTGGTGGGCACCTGTAGTCCCAGCTACTTGGGAGGCTAAGGCAAGAAAATCGCTTAAGCCCAAGAGTTGGAGGTTGCTGTAAGGTATAGCTGTAACACCACGGCACTCTACCAAGGGCGACATAGTGAGACTCTGTCTCGATAAATAAACAAATAAATAAATAAATTTGAGATTGATATGAAGGTACAAATATTTAGGTTACATTGTTTCCATTTCTTTTCTTTTTTTTTTTTTTGAGACAGAGCCTCAAGCTGTCTCCTTGGGTAGAGTGCTGTGACATCACAGCTCACAGCAACCTCCAACTCCTGGGATCAAGCGAGTCTCCTGCCTCTGCCTCCCAAGTAGCTGGGACCATAGGTGTCCACCACAACGCCTGGCTGTTTTTTGGTTGCAGCTGCCATTGTTGTTTGGTGGGCGGGGCTGGATTCGAACCCACCACCTTAGGTGTATGTGGCTGGTGCCTTAGCCAGTTGAGCCACAGGCACTGAGCCTACATTGTTTCCATTTCTAAAGTAAAGTTCAAGTTGTAATTGAGCCCTCCACCTAGGGGGCATGCTGAACTCTCACACTGCGCACATTAGGTGAGATCCCGCCAATCTCTCCTTCCTGATGCCTCATTTTCTTAACCTTCCAGGCCTAAGCTCTTGGGACCACTATTGATTTCTTAACTCTGATCCCATGAGAGCTTTAAGTCTAAAGAATCTACCTCTGCTGGTCCAATCTCATGGAAACCCTTTTACTTCTTGCCTGATTATTACACTACCCTCCTAACCATCTCCCTACCGCTATCCTACAAAGATGAGTATTTCTAGAGAGTAGTCCATTCACGTCATTTCACAGCATTGCCCCAGCCTACCAATCAGCATCTCACACTGCTCTCCCCTGCACACGCTAAGCTCTAGGCAAATAGGACCGCTTAAGTCTTCCCCACCCATCCACGATTCTGTGCATTTGCTCTCCTGGGTGTTCCCTCTACCTGGACATGCCAGATTCTTCCTGCCTTCATTCCGGCTAATCCAAATCAACTCACCTTTCTAGGACCAGCTCAAATATTATCTTATGGAACTTTTCCTTTCGACCAGGAATAGACTCTGTCTTCTTTTAAACTTCAAAAGATTTTGTCTCTGTTTGCTCTAATATTATTACCCTGTGCCATGTTCAACTGTCTACTTATCTTAATCTATAAGTTCTTTGGGGACAAGAACTGTATCTTATGCACGTCTGCAAACCTCCAGTGTCCTGTGACATTGTCCTATGCCCAGTAAGTCGTAATGATCTCTTTAATACTAATAAATGCTCTCTTAATGAAGGTTCTCTCCTGCCAGAGTTACACAACTCTATGGACTGAAAATTTGAACAGAAAGAGGAGTTCAAGAGGCATGAGGTTCTCTTTTTTTGAGACAGATTCTTACTCTGTTGCCCAGGCTAGAGTGTCACGGTGTCCGCTCAGCTCACAGCAACCTCAAACTCCTGAGTTCAAGCGATCCTCCTGCCTCAGCCTCCCCAGGAGCTCAAACTACAGGCACCCACACCATGCCTGGCTAGTTTTTTTCTATTTTTATCTCATTTTTGCTTGGGCTTGTCTTGAACTCCTGAGCTCAAGGGATCATCCTGTCTCAGCCTCCCAGAGTGCTAGGATTACAGGCATGGGCCAACACACCCAGCCTATTATTTTTTTCTTTCTTTTTTTTTTTCTGTTGCCTTCCGATCATAGCTCACTGGAACCTCCCAATTCCTGGGCTCAGGCTATCCTCCTCAGTTTCTCTAGTAGTTAGGAAGACAGGCACGTGCCACCACATCCAGCTGATTTTTTATTTTTTATAGAGAGAGCATCTCACTATTGTCCAGTCTGGTCTTGAACTGCTGGTCTCAAGGAATCCTCCTGCCTCAGCCTCCAGAAGTACTAGGATTACAGAGAGAGCCACTGTGCCCCACCAGTATTTCTTCTGGATCAAGGATAGTCAAGAAGATTATCAGGGCTACCCCTAAATCGACAGGACCCTCCTGGTAGCACATTTGGCTTTTTTAAAGGACCTGGGACTTGAACATACGTTTTCTTGGCTGGTTTTCTGAGTTAAAGCTCCTTGGCAAATACTGGGCTTACTTCCTGATGAATTGACCCTTGGTGAGACCAAGATTTTTAAAAAAAATTCTTAAGCTACAGACTGAAAGTTCACACCTGTAATCCCAGGATTTTGGGAGGATCACTTGAGGCCAGGTGTTCAAGACCAGGCTGGGCAACATGGTGAGACATTGCTTCTACAAAGAATAAAAAATATTAGCACATGCTTATACGCCCAGTTATTTGGGAGGCTGAGATGGAGGACTGTTTGAGCCCAGGAGTTTAAAGTTATAGTAAGTCATGACTGTGCAACCGTACTCCAACCTGGATGATACAGCAAGACCCTATCTCCTCAATCCCCACCTCCGCCAAAAAAAATCGTAATAGAGAAAATCGTCATAGAGAAATCTTACGTGTTGGGTAAAGGATTTCAGGTTTCTCTATTCAAATGGTTTCCTTTAACAAGCAAGGTTAGGCCTGGGCTTACAGGATGAGGTGGGATAGGAAGGGAAAACGAACTGATATGCGCAAAACTAGCAATGAAAGACATTCCAGAGTAAGATTCGATGAGGGGGGAGCTTTCCAACCACCAAAGATGAAGACAAGTGAAAAATCTTTTCAAAGTTCTCCGAGCAAAGAGGTCAAAGAAGAAACCAGAAGCCAGCTGTTTTGCTATTGAAACAAGCAGAGACAGGGAAATAACAGGAAACCTCCACCAGGACGTGCTCTGTGGACGTGCTCCACCAGGAGCTCCACCAGGAGCTCTCCCATCTCACCCTCTCAGCCCAGTTCCTCCCTGTGGGCACAGCTCCCACGCTGGGCTGGCCGCAGGGCCAACCAAACCTACTGGCAGGAAGTGGTGCAACAGCGGCTCCGTGGGAGTAAGGAAACGTTGATTCTCTGTGCTTTGCCAAGAAGCAACACCAGGAGCTGCTTCTCGCTTTTTCAAAGTATTTCCTAATGCCTGTGTGCCTTTCTTTGATAACGAGCACCAGCCATTCAATTCCTTGGGGAGCTTTTTCCCTTTAAGCCAGGTTATAGAGTTGGACGCAGATTTTATCTGCTGTGCTTCCTTGCTGCCCCTCAAAGACACACTTGAGCACTGCTTTCCTGTTTAAAGATTTTTAAAGGATCATTACCCGACACAAGGAAACGGTGAAGCTAACAAAATGCACACAGTCCTGGTTCCTATTTAGCACCCTCCTACCGATTCTGGAGGCCTCAGTGTTTTAGTTTGTGAGTTTGCCATGTCTGTTAAGTCTCTTTCCCTCTCTCTTTTTGAACTCGTTTTATTCCTGAGGATGGGACTTCTCCAAACCAAAGCATCTGCCCTCCTTTCGGGCTGTGTCTTGTCTGCTCTCTTCCCAGCCGTCAGGTCCGACACTGACCCCGACACCGACCGGCCTGAAAGCACCACCAAGATAGCTCACTCTCTTTGCAAATCGCATCGCAAGCCTTCCCGACTCCAGCCCAAAGCTCCCTCCTCAGCCCAGCTGGATCTGAGGACAGTTGTCACAAGCACAGGCTCTGGGGTCAAGAAGACGTGGTCTTGAATCCTGGCTTCACTGCTTCCCAAGGAGTGAGAACCTGGGCGAGTTACTCAACTTTCCCAGGTCTCCGTTTCTTGATCTGTGAAGCAGGACCTACCCCATAGGGGTGTGGAGTGCTTAGCAGAGCTCGGTCCACTGTAAAAACTCCAGACTGGTGCTATTTCTAACATTCACTTCAGAGATGTTCTGAGTAGGTAAGGGCATACGGAGCCAGCAGACAAAAACAAAGCAAGAAACTGATTTTATCACACAACCCTATTTGTAGAATTACGGCGATACTTTACCCATATGCAAATAAACAAATAGTTACTGAAACTTTAATTTCCAGAGAAGAAGCCTCTGATTTAGGAGAGACAAATCTGAGTTTAAAAACCAGGTGAAAAAGTGTACTAGTAGGACGTGGGGAACGAGCGGGGGCTCTGTCTGCTTGAGTTTCCGTATAATCAGGAGGTCAGGGGCTTGAAGGGCTAGAGCCTTCCACTGGCAGATGTGCTTGGAAGGTGCAGAGGAG